TGTGTGTGTGTGTGTGTAAAAGTTAACCCCTTTACAAACTGTAGACACATTAACATCCAGTGTTGTGTTACCGTTTCAGGCCCAAAAACCTTTTCTACGAGTTTGCGACACCCTCAACCTTTTCCCCTCTCTCTGCTCTCTCTTGCTGCTGTTTGGTGTCTCAGTCTGTCACAAGCTGGAGTTGGAGCGACAGCAGCACAACCAGCTGAAACACACGTGGCAGCGGGCCAACGACCAGTTCCTGGAGTCCCAGCGGCTCCTCATGAGGGACATGCAGAGGATAGAGAGCGTGCTGTCGTCAGAACAGCTCCGCCAGGTGGAGGAGATGAAGAAAAAAGATCAGGTACGCACACACAGACCTTCAGTTTATTCTGTTTCTGCTCTGGAGGAGACTTTTCTTTTTACAGTTCATGGAAATATGTGAGTTTTTCAGTGTTCAGTCAGCAGATTGAGCCAGTGGTTAGACAGATAATTTAGTTCCATCTTTCCAACGGAGACATGTAATCTTGTTAGCAATAATAAAATTAATGCATTGAGCTGCTGTGTGATTGGAAGAGGGGGAAAGGTCACCCAGAAATGAGACGAATGGATGGATGAGTTAGAAACAGATGCTGAGCAGAGGGTTAGCTTGTTCATTACCTTCCGACTTTAAGACTTAACAAAGCAGAAAATGATGAAGTTAATCATCAGTTGGCAGTGTGGATCCAGGTTGGATGGAGTCAGTAGTGAGTCAGATCATTTGGCTCAGCTCGGCAATAAGAGCCGACTCTTTATAATTCAGCCAAATATAGCAATGCTTTGACCTATAATTGGTATTTATACACATATATCACTTAAATTATTCGATGTGATTATGCTAAGCTTTATAATTTCCAGAACACCATAATTATACATGTGTACTGAACCTTTTATTTATGTTAAAATATTAAATGTTATTACCAAAGTGAGACATTTCTGGATCCTCCTGTCATTCTGTATTGTATTCATTTATTTTGCCTCTGGTTGTTGCCTCTTGGCCAGGTCGCCATTGTTTATTATAATTGGTTCTCAAATGACTTATGTGGTTAAATATAGGTAGAATAAAAATAAAATATAAAACAAAGAAAAAGATGAGAGCTAGCTCCCGTCGTTCACTTAAATGAGTCGGCTCGTTCACAGATGACACATCGCTATAGCTGCAGGTCATGTGAAATGTTGTAGTAATAATAATAATGATACATTTATTGTATATAGTGCTTTAAAGGGTACTCAAAGACACTTTACATGGTAACAAAAGACAATAACAGAAACTGCAATAGCATTATCAGTAAGAAATGATAAATATAATGCTACTATAACAACAAACTAATATAAGAAAACAAGAAGAAAGCTGGTGGAGCCAATAAAAAGGAGAGAAGTAGGTAATAGATCACAGATTAGTTTTGAGTGCAGTCTTAAAGGATGCAAGTGAGGGAGAACGTCTACTTACTACTGCTTGGACTGCTTTAAACTGGATTCTTTTTGAATTATTGTACTGTATATGTATTTCCAATTCATGTTTCTTGCATGTTTAGTTGTCCATTTGATTTGACAAAGATTACATGTAAGAAATACACAGGATCCTGTTTGTAAGTCTGGTTGAAACAGCTCAATGTGAGGCAGTTCAGTCTAACAACACTACAACCTCAATAATAAACTATTATTGTTACAGTTATTATGCTGTAAAGGTTGAATTTATGGCATATGATTTTATAGTTTCACTGTAATAATTAATAATTGGCCCCCTGAGGATAAATTTAGTAGATGGAACAATTATGTGACCTTCTTTTTCACTCCGTCCTAGGAGGAGGATGAAATAGAGAGGCTGAGCCAAGTGAAGGAGCTGCACGAGGAGGATGTGGGAGAAAACACTGAGCCTTTGGAGGATTTATTCCTCGGGCTGAGCGTCGAGGAGGTACGAGCATCATGTAACGCAATATGTCCCTCGGAGAGAACAGAGCAGGCTATTATCGTCTTACGTCATATTATATTCCCTTTTGAGTAACGCGATCTTCAAACAGGCAACATGGCGCCTTCACTTTTGTCCTTGTGTATTGTGTTTGTAGCAGACATTAACTGACGCTGCTTTAGCTGCTGAAAACGGTCGTTATTTTGTATTCGTATAAAGCTTTCAGCAGCAGAGATTTCATACATTGTTTTCGCTGTTGAATCATAAGCAGCTGAATGATGCATGAATATCAACTTGAGATTTTCTTTTCAATATCAATTAAAGCTGAAATGTTTCTTAAGCTTAAGAACATTTATAATTTGTCTCATCTTGACATTCAGTGTGACAAATGATGTTATTTATTTAAAAATGATTTAGACCTCCTGAATACCTGTTTACCAAGACTTCTCAGAAAGGCAAACACACAGTAGAATATTACTGTTTTATATAACTGTATATCCTTATCTACATATATACGGATTGAGCTGGATATTAACCGTACATTGGTCGGCCCCCGGCTAAATTTTAGAATCAGGCTGATTAATTGTCATTTGAGGTGCAGGCTGAGGGTGGCTGTGATCCTTGATTAATTGCCTGAGCAATCAGCGATTTGGCTGTTGGATGCTCGATTAGATTTCTTGCAGCCTGGGCAGGTCCACTTTCTGATTTCCCTCATGGTTTTTGTCCCAATGATCCGTTAACAGAGCCAGTTTTAATATTAAAGTAGTATTTTAAACATGTTAAACTGCACTATGGTAGAAATTAAAGCATAGTATCTGCATCCTCCAACCATCTGATATTTCTTACTTCAGTTCAGAGTAGACAAAGTAACACTACTTTTCTCTTTTTGTCCACATTGGTGCAGTACCTTTTGATAAAAGTAAAATATGTGACAAAGCATTATAATGAAGAACTGTAGTGCTTTTCTCACTGAAAATGAAAATTTTGATGCAAAAATGATCATACCCACTAACTGTGAATCATATCATAATAATTGTAATATGATTTGTTTTCACCAAAACACATCGTTTGTATCCTTGAGATCTAACTAATGTGTTTAATGCATTTATTTCCTCATACAACATTTCAAATCCAGCTTATTTTGAAATGTATTTTTATATTGGATGTTTTATTGCTTGAAGTCTTCTTCTTTCCCTGCTTTTGTTGGTATTCTTGGTGCATTATCGCCACCTGTAGATTGGTGAAGTAGTGTAAAACCTTTGGTCTGTTAGGCCTTTGCTGCATCGTCGTCCCCCTTCTTTTTCCCACCTTCCCATCTCTCTTTTGCCGCTCCTATCAAATAAAGGCAATAAAACCACAGATTATTTGTCTCATCTTGAAGCGTTAGTGAAATATAAAAGGAATCTTTTTTTCTCTTTTTTTTTTCTAACGTTTTAGAAAAACCTTACTTTTAGTTTTCCTTCTTTCTTCCAGCCTCACGCCAACCACAGCGCCCACGGCTCTATGCACTCCTTAGACACTGATGTGGTCACGGGGGGCCCCATGGACCCCTACAAGGATAACCTTCGGAGAGTTCAGTCAACAGACAGCCTCGGCTCCTCGCTGTCCGTCCAGCAGGGACTCGGTGGCCACAACCACAAAGCCAAGTCGGCTAGCCACTTGGACGAGTCGGACTTTGGGCCCTTGGTGGGGGCCGACTGCGGAGTGATAGACAGTAGTTTTGGCGAAACTTTGTCCATCAGCTCCATCAAGCTGACGGCGAGTCATTTCCTGCTGACTAAAGACCAGGAGAAGGCCATCAAGGCCATGACGCCCGAGCAGGAGGAGACGGCGTCGCTGCTTTCCAGCATCTCCCACGCCCCCGAGAACGCCTACCTACCGCCAGCAGGCTACAGACTCGTCAGCGACAGCGAGTGGAACCTGCTCCAGCAAGAGGTGCAACCTCGAGAAGTTTTAATAGTTTGGATACAGCGCTGCGGTTACATATAGCACAATTCAACAATTAAGTGCTTATTAGGGATGTTTAATGAATGATTGACTGATGATTAACTAAATGATCGAGTTCTTGGAGGAGCCCTCGATTTGACCGCACTTTCGTCATACATCACCTCCAATCTTTTATTTTTATTTCGTTCCTAATTTTTGTTTTAGATTCAGTTTAGTTTTAGTTCATTTTAGTTAAATTTGTATTAGTTTCAGAATTAGTTTTAGTTTTTTTGCCTCTTCAGGCTTACTGTGTTGACAAATTTGACCAAATTCACAAGGTACTCGAGTACTCGTGCCCATCCTTAGTGGTTATGACAACTTTGTAGGGTTTTCCTGTGATTTTAGGATGATTACTTCATGGGAATATACACTGCCCGGCCCCAAGAAAGGTTGCACACTCTATTTGATTGGACCGCCTTTAGCTTTGAGTACAGCACGCATTTGCTGGGGCATCATTTTGATAAGCTTCTGCAATGTCACAACATTTACTTCCGCCCAGTTTAGTTTTCTGGCAAGATCTTGTATTGATGATGGGAAGGTCGCACCGCTGCGCAAAGTCTTCTCCAGCATGTCCAAAAGATTCTCTGTGGTGGCCAATCCATGTGTGAAAAGGATGTCTCATGCTCCCTGAACCAGCCATTCACAATGTGAGCCCGATGAATCCTGTCATTGTCATCTTGGAATATGCCCGTGCCTTTAGGGAAGAAAAACTGCCATTGATGAAAGACCTGGTCATTCAGGTATATTTCAGGTAAGTCAGCTGACCACATTCTTTGGGGACATAAGTGTTTGACTGAACCTAGACCTGACCAACTGCAGCAACCCCAGATCATAACACTGCCACCACATGATCTTCTTCCATTGCTCCAAAGTCCAGTCTTCATGCTCAATGCTCTTACTTTCACTATTAAACATAGCAGTGAGTTACTGTTGATTTACTACTGTTGATTTCTTAGATATGATTTCACCAAACGTTTAAGTAATCTCCGATCACGATCATTCAAGAGTTTTTTCCGACCACATTTCTTCCCCAAGATGGTTCACTATCCTTCCAGGTTTTAATAATGCGTTGGACAGTTCTTAACCCGATTTTAGTAGTTTCAGCAATCAAGTCGTTTTCTTTGCTTTGATTTGACTCTTTGACTGATTAACATCCTTTCCACGACCACAGGATATGTCTTCCAACATGGTTGTTTAAGAAATGAGAAGCTACTCACCGCATCAGCTAGGGTTAAATAATTTGTTGCCAGCTGAAACATATTGATCACTGCAGTAATTATCTAATGGAAGGCTCTTACCGATTTGTTTAGTTAAATCCAGGTGGTGACTTTTTTTTTGGACGGGCAGTGTATCATTTTTAACAGGATTTCTTCTCATTAATTAAGATTTTAACATCAGAGGTGTAAATAATTAATGATATTTATGGTCTAATTGTATTCTTTCTTGTTTATTTGTTAGATTATAGTAATATTTTTAAGAGAATAGAAGTTTGTAAAAAAAACAAAATGTCAATCTCACAGAATCATTTGATTTCGATTGATTTGATTTGCATTATTATTCAGCATATCTTCTTCATAGGTCTTATGTGACGTTGTTACAGTGTGCAGTGTTAAGGAAGGAAAATCCATCACATGCAGCCATTTCTGCTCGTTATTTTGTTGTTAAATGAACTGGATTATAACGTTTAATCGATCTTCAGTACGTCACGCTCCACTTGTTGAATGCCTCTCTGAAATCGGTCCTGCTGCTATAATTTGGGCCACGGAGATTTACTCTGTATATCTGATGTAGACATTTGTTGAACTGATTTTGCACTCTGCTTCATTCACATAATCTAAAATGTATTTTCCCACACAGCAGAAACCACTATCAGGACAGTTATTAGAAATAAATTGCTGCAGATGAAAAGTCGGAAAGATTACTTTAGCAACAGCAATTTAGGGTCTGACTACGACAGTTACGTGGAGGGTATCATGAGGTTTGGAGAAGGTGTCTTTGTTTCAGTATGCAATATTCTTTACTTTAGGACCAGATTTTGGCAAGAATTCCCAACACATACTGGGATGTCAAATTCCTTGTATTCAGTCCTAGTGCTTGGGGAAAAGGAACATTACATTTCATTCGTTCATGATCTTTTTAATTAATTGCTGCTGTCATATAGCTGTTTTAAAAGGTCTTTCTCAAGTTTTAAAGAAGTGTTAACCCAGATATTCCATTATATTTGGTGTGAGGCATTACGTTAACAAATGGTTACTATTAAGTGTTTCATGGTTTTCTTGTTGGTCCGTCATTAGGTGAAAAATGCTGGCAGGAAGCTCGGCCGACGTTGCGATATGTGTTCCAACTATGAGAAGCAGCTGCAGGCCATCCAAGGACAAGAGGCCGAGACACGAGATCAGGTTTGCTGCAACTTTATTTCCTTTTTTGCTACAAGAATCTTTGTGAACAGTAAACGACAGATGTTTTTTAGAAGCATGGTATAGTGGTTGAAAATGTTTCTCCGCCACGCTGTCTTCCAGGTGAAGAAACTGCAGGTGATGCTGCGTCAGGCCAACGATCAGCTAGAGAGGACGATGACCGAGAAACAGAGTTTGGAAGATTCGGTCAAAGTAGGCAACGAGGAAACCGCTGCTAAGGTAACATCAGAGTAATGAAAATGAAATGATTGTGTTGATTTTTTCCCCCTTAAGATATCTAGTTTAGTGGTTGATATAAAACTGACAGTGTGGTTTTAAAGCTGTTTTTTAAGTTAAATTTGATAGCAGAGAATAATGACTTGAGGGAGATGAGACCTTTTTGTTTATTATTTGAGCTGCTTTCTACAGTATGTGTTTGTTCTGTCTCACTGTATTAAATTCCTCATGAACACGTAGTGTTGGCACAGTGCCTTGGGGGATGGAGACAGGAAGTGGAAAGTTGTTGCTGTGGATTCAGTCGAGCTACTTCAACCCCATTTTTAAAGCCTGTTTTTATTTACCTTTGGCACCATTAAAAGTATGCTGAATAGGCTATTGGCAGCTCCTGTTTGCAATGTACCCATGCATACACAGACAACTGTCACTGGACTACTTTGATACTGAAGAAAACTTATAAACGAAATGATTCTCTGGCCACTGCTGCGGGGTCTTTTAGGCAGATTCATGGACATTTTTTCCCAACAGACAATCTGAGATAATAATATCCTCAGAAAGTTAAGTCAAGGATCTCAACCTTTTGTTAACTTCTGATTGTTAAATCATTCCTGACGTCCACATTTCCGAATAAATGAGGAAAAATAAACTGGGCTGTGACAGGATTTCAGCACATTCAACACACTGACTGCTTTCAGCTCAGCGTCTCTGCCTGCCATTATGAATCCAAATTTAATGTATTCAGGATCATATTTCCTCTCCACAAGGTTTGGAGCTTTAATCGGCGCAGGGTTGTCGCCCACGTCACCTTTTTGTTTAAAAAACGGATCCATTTTATGTAACTGCATTAAAATGATGCATTTTAATGGGATTTTTATTTATTTATATGAATTCTTTTTAAATACATAAATAACTAGCTTTACTAAAAGAAAAGTGTTGCCCACTAGATGGCGCTTTAAGTCACGCTGAATCTATGCGGGCCGAATCAGCAGGCCAAACTTTAATAAATAACTTCCTGCTGTTTCCAGACCGCTAACATGCACCTATTCCTTTCAACCTCCGCAGTATCTTTACTTTATTACTCTCCCTCCACGCCCCCTCTCCAACTCTCCCACGCCTCCCCAGGGGGTCCTCTCAGGTTGAAAACCTCTGAAAAAGAACTGACTCATATTTCCTTGTGCGATCAAAGAAATATTTCAATAATTCAAGCATGAATGCTGTTACAGTTCCTCACATCTAGCTCGTTAGTTAAACAGAGTTTCTAGGTCATGAAACCTGGTCCTGATTGGTCCTAATGTTCATTATACCTTCTGTCTGTTACATCTGAATCATTTGTTGCAGGCTATCTGCCAAGCGAGAGAACATCTATAGGGTCAAGTACATTATTATAATAAGAATAATAATAATGTTTTAAAAGTAGTGAAGGTGTTGAATTCCTGTTTCAGAGTGTGCAAGAAAACAGGCATGATCTTTTTGCAGGTGCATTACCGAAAGTGTAGCTTTGCACCAGCAACAGTGAGGTTTTTTGTTTTTGCTGGTTTGGTATTTTTGATGATTTACCACACTGGGAGGAGAGCTGCAGAGTAGGAGGGGGGTGTTGCTGATTGAGCAGTGCAATGAAAACGCTCAACGGTGCACCCATACAGTTTGTGTTAATGTATCTTAAGAGGCCTCTCCAACATTCACACAAACTCCCTTTATGCTTGATTTGTTCGTCTGTTTGCTGTCTTACACTTACACTGTCTAGCTTTATTTTGTCCAAGAGAAGAGTCTGAAACACAAAGATATTCAGTTTACTATCATTTATAACAAAGAGAAGTAGCAAATCCTCACATTTGAGAAGCTGAAACCAGAGAATAATTGACATTTTCTGCTTTAAAAAATACTGTAATATACATTCATTGACTGTCAATTTCCTTCAGTTGTTATTAATGGTATGTGTATTTATTGATTAAGATGTCACTATGAGCTTTCTGGTTAAGTACAGACAGATTCATCCGGCCAGATACAATAAAACCAATAAATCAGTACATAAAAACATGAAGTATATGGATAACGATTAAGATGTGACTGTGCTTTATACGTGCATTCCCATCAATCCTCTCTCTTTATTCAACAACAGAAGGTTACCAGGGCAACAGCCGCATGACTCATCCTCTTTCCTACAGGTCTGACCAAACTAACGCCTGCGGCATCACATTTTTTATTCAGCAGACCTGTGGGTGCGATGAAGAACAGGATGTAGTAGAACAGAATCATAAACCGCTCATACATCTGTGTTGCTTCAATTTCACACCGCTGTGACCGCAAATAACAATTTGATATAGAATTATTTGTTGATGGTTTGCAGGATTATTATGAGGTATTGCTACTTAATACTTGATATTAGAGACATTATTGTTAGATGTAAACACAGGTAGGGCTGTAGGTAATTTAAATTTTGTTTCATTACTGACTATCCTGCTAATTATTTTCTCGATTCAGTGTTATAAAATAGTAAGAAAGAAGCCCTGAAGCATCTTCAGATGTGTTGTTTTGTTGAACTAATAATACAAAATCCAAATATATTCAATTTAATATCACATAAGACAAAGAAATGTAGAAAAAATGTGATTTTGCTTTAATGTCGTGTTGTACTACTGTTGTGTTTATAACTGTATCAAATGTGGTTCTCACGTAGTAAATCGTTGCCAAAAAAAGCACTGTGAGAGCACCATATTGGTTCTGTGGTGTCACAATATGAACTACATTAAGGGGGCCTGTTCACAAACCTCAGGTTCATTTTAGACTGACATCGCAGCTGTGGTGAAAACACTGTGGTGCAGTATAGCGCCTGAAACCGTTTGAAAGCCAGCATGGTCAGCATGTTCCTGCAACTGCTGATTGGTGCTGCATAGTAGCCTTTTTGCCTTTCATATCTACTTGTCGACAGTAGTTCATTTTAAAATGAATCTTTATGTTGTATTGTATAAGATGACCACAGCGTAAGCACAAACGTGAACTTTACATTTTTATTTTACTGTATGCAAAATGTATATTCAGCATTTAATCTAACTGTAGGTTTGAGAGTTTTGAAGACTTTCTCTTGTCTTAGCAATGTTTTTTTCTGTGTTTTAGGTGTCTGCCCTCCTGCAAAGAGTCCAGGAGTCAGAAACACTGCTCAGCACACTACAACAGGCCTTCAGTGACGCTAAGAGGAACACGCAGGAGCAGATGGTGAGCAAGATATTCTTTCGTTAGCCCCGTGTTACTTGTTCTTGCCAGCTGTGCTTGGATCTCTACTTCTTTCTATTCTCCTAATGCTGGCACGACTTCAGCCCTTCAAAATAAGCAGTTCAGTTTATTGTTTTGACATCGGGCTTGAGCGTGGTTATCAGACGTGTAGCCAAAGTGACTTGCAGCTCATGGATACTGCCTGTTAGTGTTTTGGATTTTACTTCTCTCTGTCTCTGTGGCAAAAACGTCACTGTTCCTCTCCACCACAAATATTTGCTGACACAATGGAGCTCTTGGCTGCAGGAATTTGTACTTGCAGAAATGGCATTAAATATGTCCAAAAGTTACTTGTCAACCGCAACAGAAATGTAGAGATTTTACAGCACAAACATTCACACGCATTGATAAGAAAGGTTGGTGTTACAGTGTAACTTCTAAGTAAGAATGTTTTGTTCAACCAGCAGTCCCAAACCCAAAGATATTTAATCTTCTAATCTAGAAAATCTTCACATTTTTGCAGCATAGTGTAATATTTATCACTTATCCAAGTTGTTAGCGATTAACTTGTGTGAGTGTTTTGAAGTCTAGTTTAAACCTAAAAGAGGAAAAACATTTTTGGAAGTAAAATGTAACTGTTACGTAACATCACTTTTTCTCCCTACCACAAATATTTGCTGACAGGTTGGAGCTCTTTGCTGCATTTTTCTTTTTTTTAAAGATAAATACTTTGTACATTGTTCATCCACCACACAATAGAAATGTACAGATTTGTACACTGTACATCACTGCAAACATTCCCATATTCTTTGCTAAGTAATGTAAGTAAACTTTTTCTAGCTGATTATGAGGGGAGAAAGAAGTGAGTGAGACTGAAAAATCCTCAATAATGAATGTGCAGCTGCAAGCTGTATCATACCACATGCATGAGTATGCCTTGAAAGTCTCTGCAAACAAATTCTTCTGCCAGAACAATGACACGTTCCTTTTTGCTGCATGTGGCTTTGATTTAAAGAAATATGGGGCTTAACGCTGTCATGAATTAAGTCTTAATGTCATAACACCTAGCAAAAATTATAGCTTTTGCATGTAGAGTCAGCTGGAGTGTGGCTCTAAAAGTAGACGCTGACCGCTGAGTCACTCTTCACCATGTGTTGAAATGGGCCCGGTTCCATATGACAGACAAACTGACACCTTATGAGATGGAGTGATTTATTTTGTTGGTTTGTTCCAGGCGGTGCTGGTGAAGTCGAGGGAGCAGGTGGCAGATGAGCTCAGCCGACTACAGAGAGATAACGACAGCCTGCAGGGAAAACACAGGCTACACATAGAACTACAGCAACAAGAGGACTTCCAGATGCCCATTACTGTGCAAGTAAGCCCGAATCAAACTCAGCATCAGCATCACTGTCGAGTTTAGTTTTACTGTCAAGTATGGTAACCGAGCATTAAATGTTTTGTCAAATGCATAGTTCCAGATTAAAATGGCTAATATTAGAATGTATTTTATTTTGGTAAAGTTCTTGTAGAGCTACTTGTCAAAGTAATGTGTTGAAAAAGTATTGTTTTTGTTATCGGTACTGAAATGTGGGTATTGTGTTGGCACTAGTTTAAAGAAAATACCCTGCTTTTATCATTAGATTAAACCGACAACAGAGTAGATGATTGGAAAAAATAATACAATAAGATAATAAATCAAAGGTGAAGATAAGATCAATGATAAAGTTCTGTAAAATCAAGATTTGCTTACAGTGAGTGGATATCTTGTCTAAATGCTAATCTGATAATGTACCATGCATTCATGTCATGTACATACATTTTTATTATCCATCATTAATATTGACACATTAATGTGTGAGTAGCATTCAGTTGTCATGGTTGGTCAAGGTGGACCTAATTTTAAAGTATAGGTTCACTGGGAGTGTTGGGGGACAAAATCCACTGTCCTTTTGCAAAAATTAACTCTCTAACTACTTTATTTGGTTTATTCTGTGCCAATGCATCAGATTTGTATGTGTGTTATGTGTGCTCATGAATGGTTACAGACTGACCCACTTACAGTAGATAATTGACTTGAAATCTTCAAAGAGATTCATGAGATGGAAAGACTGACTCTTTTGCTGAGATTGAAAAAAATTACTTAAAATGGAGAAGACATTTGCTGGAATAAGAAATGTGGTTGATGGCTTTTTCCCTGTCATCCCTCCTGTCAAACTGTCATTTGCTTTCCTTTTGCTGTAAACTAAACATGGAAACTTAAATACAAATTTTGTAGTGCCGTTTAAAGTCCCCTTCTTTCCGTAATCCTGAATATGAAGTTTGATATATGAATGGTGTGGAAATGCCACCCGGCAACAATGTACATCTGTTGTCAAAAAGATTCAATAAAATATTAGTGTTAAAAAAAAATATACAAAGTAACTAAAGCTGTAAAATAAAAAGTACAATATTTACCTCCAAAAAGTGTTGAAATAGAAGTGTAAAGTATCGTATAATAATACTAGTAAATACTTAAACTGAAGTACAAATACCTACAATTGTTCTTAAGTACAGGACTTGACTAAATGTACTTGACATTCCACAACTGGTCAACAAACATGGGTGATCCAGGTTTACAGTCAAAAATGTTAATTTGAGAACTCAATTTAAGGTCCACTCACTAGCTTTTTTTTGGAACTTTCCACAGCATCTCATGGTCTTCCTCGGTGAATGGAGCACACATGTATTGAAAGTTAAAAAGCAGCATCGAAAGGCCCAGAAAAGCTACTAAGTGGACCTTGAGTTGTGATTAATAATGAAGAATGCACTTTAAGGCTCCAATTGCATTTGCATGATTTGGGTTCATATGAGGAGATTCTGGGTGCGCACCATTTGTCACCGAACAGCCTGCTGCTCTCGGTAGACATGGTCTGAACTTAATTTTAAAACTGTCACAGCGTTAGCATTCATGTCCCCATGGCATGCCACACTGACAGTGGGGAAGCTGATACCAAATTATAGAAAAAATAATCCCAGCAGTGTAACGGTCAGAAGATAATTGCCTCTGTGGAAACACCTTTGAGGCTCAACTGGCTCATTATCAGTGATTAATGGCGCCACTGCTATATTCTGAGCTTCCTGATAAGGATTACTATTTTATTTATTTATTTTTTTTACAACTGTGTGCTGTCCTCCCTCAAACACACACCTCCTCCCACACTGTTACTCTTGGCCTCTTGCTGAATTATGATCTGGCAGTATATCTGGCAGCAGAGTGGGCCTGTGCTTTAGTGGAGGTGGAGTAGCACCAATGATCCAGTGACATTTAAAGCTTGTTGGTGGTTAAACAAGCCTCTGACATAACATTTAAATCTGTATTTACTGTATAAAGATACTAAAAATCATGTTAATATGATGCAGATACAGATATTGTTATATGCATTACGGGATTTCTACAAATTGGTGATTTACTAAATGGGGTTGCACCATTAAAACTTAAGGAATATCTTAGCTTGTACAAACTTTAAAAAATGGGCAAGGAAGTCACTACAGCATCACCAGCTGAACTATAACTTCTATAAACTTTCTCAGGGGCCAACTGACATTAAACTTAATTTATTCATGCATACATGGAGAAATATGTGTTTCAGAATTATTAGAATTCAGCATCTGTTATACTGCTTACCCAACCTTATGTGGTAATTTAGTGTAAATTGTAAATGTTATTGCCATAATTTAAACAAATTCAAAACAATGCAAAGGGCTGTTTTGGTGTTGTTTCAGGTACCGGTGAGACATGAGATACAATCCAGGAGGGCCAGTTTGAGTAACAGATCCATGAGTCTGAATCTTTCTAAGATGCCAAAACATTGCACAGCAGTTAATAATACTCTAAGACAGGATTATACAAATTGTTGCGTTGCCAGGTTGACATAATTAAAACACAAATTGAGGCCTATGTCTAATGTTTTCAGTCTATACCTCTAGATTTTTAAAGGTCTAGTGTGTAACATTTAAGAGGATCTACTAGCAGACATTTAATTAAATATTCATAGGTATGTTTTCA